ACTTGTTCATGTGTGTAGCCGATTTTGGTGGAGAATGGGTTCCTTATATAGTGTTGACACATCTAGGGTTACACTTACACCATGTAAACCCTAATGTGTCATGAGTCTTCATTTCCATGACCCATGAGTTTGTAACTCCCATGGAGCATCCATGGAGCATCCTATGGGTGGAACCCAACTTGATAATCCATGAAGCCACTTATCCCACTATACAAGTTATGGATGATTTACATAATCAACCCATATATTTGATTAGTTATCTTTTGATCACTTAACTAATTCTAAATTAATTCTTGATCAAACTAATTAAATAATATTATTAATATATTAGAACTTATAATATATTAATAAACCACAAGTGTTATTTCTCTCATTTAGTCTATCCAATTGCTTGGTGTCATGTAACCCAAATGGACCATGCTGGGTCGGGTCAAGTACATACCAGAAATAGTTATGGACTTAGACACCTTATCCAACACTTTGTTCCCTATCACGAAAGCCCGACCACGAGCACTCCCATCTCCCTCCTTCAACTTTGGGCAGTTTCGCTTGATGTGCCCTTGTTCTCCACATTCAAAACAAGCTCCTCCACTAGAACCCGATCCATTACCCCTTCCTGGTACTACAGCAACTATTGCCATTCCCCGACAAAAGTTTGTCTTATGACCTTTCTTATTGCATTTGGCACAATGGAAACATTCTCCCTTGTGGTTTCGGTTGCATTGATTACATAAGGGCATATTCCCAATGCTTAACAACCCGAAAATCCTTGTCTTACAAAGTCCAACTATTACTCTCAGCCGAGTGTCAGCCTTCGTTTTGCTATCTTTTGACAAAAATATGGGCCTATATGAGCGTTCTAGGATTAGTCTAACCTAGATATGATTCTGAAGAAGGGTTAGCAAGTGTGTAGCATCACAAAATCAGGACAAACACACCAAAAAAGGTGTGTGCGGCTGCACACACCCTCCAACCTCACACTCGACCCTATATATTGAACACTTAGCCAACCTTATACCCCTTTCTCCCACTCCTTCAAAGTTGGAACTTTCTCTCTCTAGATTCTTCATCCAAGAACACTCTAAGGGCCTCAAAAACGTGAAGTACTCCTCCATTCAGCTTGTTATATTGGTAAGACATCTGAATCTAAGCCTAAAACTCATAGTGTTCTTCGTGTTCTTCACTATTTAAAGGTGTACGGCCGCACACACATCATGTGTGACCGCACACACCTCTTTGGCCCTAAAATGGACCTAAACACTCCTTTAAGCATAGAAACGACCTAAAACACCTTCTCATGATCATCCCCAAGCCGTGGAAAATCGATTTGGACACGTTTAGGTGGGAGTGTACAGCCTCACATAGGCCTGGCCGCACACTCTGGCCGCACACCTAGCCGCACACTCACAAAGGTTGAGTTTGGTGGCCTTACATTCAAATCTAATGCCCCACACTCATTTAGAGATTTCAATGGGTGTTTGTGACACTCATTCCTAAGTGTTCTCATGTCCCTAAAGTGCATCCATCTTTCTATTAGCGGTTATATACCCAAAATATATTCATATATGTGTTATTACATGTTAAACTAGGATCCGTTTGTGCTCTTGACTTCATTCATCATCTGGTGATCCTATATCAATCTTTCATTCGAGTTACTCACGTCAGGTGAGTTCATACCCCTTGTAGGGATGGATATTGATGAGAAGGTTGAGGTGATTGATCATTTGGCAAAGTACAAGACCCCAGGTGATTTGCTCATGTTGAGGAGTGCTCATGGTGCCCGTGTCTTTCTCTATCCAGTGGTAGAATCACAACAACTTCAAGGGTTCCAAGTTCTCTCCATTTTTCCTCCAGACAATGACGCCATCAATTCAGTCGTGATTTCACGTAAGATTGTGGATGCTATTAACAATGATCATGGTGATCATCATCATCATCATCACCATGAGTTGGGGATCGAGTCTCTCATGCCATTGAGTTGCAAGTATTGTGAGTTCCAAGTTTTCAACAATCCTCTTGGCCAGATGAAAATGATTGATAAGTAGATCTCATTCTACGTTAAATAGAATTGGTATTCATATAAACTTATCGTATGCGCTTGCTTGAAAGTGTGGGAATGGATTTGATTGTCTTGGTTTTCTCTTATCTTACTGAAATTTCCGGAAATAAAGAACCCTATATTATGTTATACATCATCAGCCTATTTACAAACCGTTGATTCAAAAACTCACTTACTTTTTCACTATATTATAGTTCCTCCTCTAATATCCTCTGTAACTTAAGAAAGAAGGCCTTACATTACCATGGAATTCAAAGAAATATTTCCACTCTTGGAACGTGTCATCTGGAAACAGAGGAATTATGCTTAAATCTAAGTTCTGACTATGTTCAAAGAAATATTTACACTACCAATGAATTCAAAGAAATATGAAACAAAGGGTTTTGCCATAGAAAAATAACTACGGAAAATTTCCGTAGGTAATTACCTACATAATACCAACGGAATTCTTACGGAATGGGATGCCCTAAGTTAGTAACAGGAATAGTTACGGAATAACAACGGACGAACTTCCGTAGATATTCTGTTGGTAATTAGCTACAGAATAGCTACAACATAGCGACTACAACATAGCAACGGAAGTAAGCCTGTAGGTATTCCGTAGGTAATTAGCTACATAATAGCTACGGACTACCCATAGAAGAAAATAGCTACATAATAACTACGAAATACCAATGACTTTGTAATTTTATTATTATTATTATTATTATTATTATTATTATTATTATTATTGTTGTTGTTGTTGTTGTTGTTGTTGTTGTTGGTACTATTATTATTACTATTATTATTATTATTATTCAAAATTCAAGTCTTAATTTTTTTTTTTTTGATCATTTTGTTTTAAATATTTAAAACACAAAAAATTTAAAATCATATTAATAGTACTATTAATAATTATTATTATTACAAACACAATGATAATATATAATAATCGTAACGAATGTGTTTAACACACAAACAAATGAACAAACGAAAAAAAACAACGTTTAACACATCAATAAGGTAAAATAATATACATTTAATATATGAATAATGAAAAATGATGATAATTAGGGGAAATATGTTTATTTGTATAAGTGTATGTATGTATTTATGTATGTATGTATGTATGTGAGTATATGTGTATATATTTATGTATATGTATGTATGTATATGTGTGTTTATGGATATGTATGTGTGTATATATGTGTATGCATGTATTTGAGTATGTATGTGTATGTGTATGCTTGCGTGTATGTGTATCTATGTGTATGCACGATTTTATGTACATTTATATGATGTATAACTTTGTGAAAACAAAGCAATCAAATTATAATGATGTTGTGAAAAAAATTAAAGGAAAAAACAACATTAGACCCTTAAAATAGAAAATAAATAAATAAAACTCGTAGATAATTCATAGGTAAATACCTAAGGATTACCATTTACCTACGGATAACCTTTATCCGTAGGTATTTACCTATGGATTGCCTATGGTTTTTTTTCTAATTTTTAGGGGAAAATATTGTTTTTTCAATTTCATTTTTTTCACAACAATATTATACTTTGATGTCTTTGTTTTCACCAACTTATACATAACATAAACTTACATACAAATGTATGCATTGTTAGAACCCATTACTCATTTACAACTTTATTATTCTTTTTTATATAATATAAATGAAAGTTGTTTTATTTACACAAATACAAATAAATACAGATATTTACATACAAATCATATGTATGTATTATTTTCAGTATATCATGTATTTGTTTAATGAGGTTAATTGTTGCTCAAGAACAAACATAAATAGCTTTTTGTATCATATATAGTAAAGAGTTATAATGACGCACATTCTTCTACATACGTTTATATGATGTATAATTTTGTGAAATCAAAGCAATCAAAGTATAATGATGTCGTGAAAAAAAATGAAACGAAAAAAATGACATTAGACCCTTGAAAAAGAGAAAATAAAAAATAAAATCATAGGTAATTCGTAGGTAAATATATATTTACCTACTGATAACCTTTATCCATAGGTAATCCGTAGGTATTCACCTACAGATTGCCAACGGGTTTTTTTATTTTTCAAATTTTTAAGATAAAATATTGTTTCTTCAGTTTCATTTTTTCACAACTTCATTATTCTTTGATTTCTTTGTTTTCACCAACTTATGCATAACATAAACTTACATACAAAGGTATACATATACTAATAGTACTATTAATAATAATTATTATTATAAACATAATGATAATATATAATAATCGTAACGAATGTGTTTAAGACATAAACAAATGAACAAAAAAAAACGTCTAACACATTAATAAGAGAAAATAATATACATTTAATCTATGAATAATGAAAAATGATGATAATTAGGGGAAATATGTATATTTGTATAAATAAGTGTATGTACGTATTTATTTATGTATGTATGTATGTATGTGAGTATATGTATATATATTTATGTATGTGTATGTGTGTATATGTGTGCTTATGGATATGTATGTGTGTATATATGTGTATGTGTGTATTTGAGTATGTATGTGTATGTGTTTGCATGCGTGTATGTGTATCTATGTGTATGCACGGTTTTATGTACATTTATATGATGTATAACTTTGTGAAAGCAAAGCGATCAAAGTATAATGATGTTGTGAAAAAAAATGAAATGAAAAAAAAACAACATTAGACCCTTGAAAAATAGAAAATAAAAATAAACCGTAGGTAATTTACCTACGGATAAAATACCTATAGATAACCAATTGGACTTTTCTGATTTCCGAACTCTGATTTCAACACACATCGACGACCCACATTGACCAAAACGGTTGCAGGTTTTCCCTCCAACATCGTTGTCGCACACCACCGCCTACGTTGCCCCGTACCACCACCATCGCTGCACCATACTACCACTGTCGCTACCCCACACCACTATCAGTAACACCCCAGGTATGTATGTATGTCGATTTCAGTTTGCTCACATTTCACAAATTTTGCCCCTAGAGAATCAATTTCAACGACACCCCAGGTATGTATGTCTTTGTCATCTTTGGGCGGTTGTCAAGACAAAACCAAGAGGGGTATATGAAGTCATCGAAGCTGAAACAGAAGTTGCGCTTGATGGAAACACTGAAGCAAATGGATTCTTTCATCTTGATGAGCGGTTTGAGTTACCGAATGAAGTAAATGTTAGTGAACATTTCACCCTAGCCTCAAATAAAACTAACTTTGAGAAAATATCTTCCGATGAGAGTGAGGGTTCTGAAGCGAGAAACCAAGAAGATGATACAGCTGACGAGGATAGAGACGAACTAGTTTATTTTAACTACTTTGATCCAGATGAGGACGAATGTTAGGAAGTTTGTTTTATGTTATATGGTATATACACTTTAATATTTTTGTTATCACATTTTATTTTTGATTTATAATATGGAATGTATATGCTAGTCTATTTGTTATTTTTCATTATCATCTAACATATCTGACTATTTTTGTTCTATAAACGCGGAATGTTGGATAAAGGCATAGCACGTAACCTTTTTCCGGTTGGTCCTCCATCGGGTGGTAGGCCATCCTCTTTACCTGAACCTACTGGCCTTCCACACATCCCTCTTATAGGTGGTTCTGTACGAGGAGCCAGATCATCACCTTTGTCTGACCCTAGTTGCCTTTCACGCAGTGGTTTTGTATCGGGAGCCAGGTCATCGCCTTTGCCTGATACTAGTTGCCTTCAACATAACATTTTAATGGGCGGTTTTGTATCGGGAGGTAGGCCATCTCCTGACCTTAGTGGCCTTCAACACAACCCTTTTTTAGTTGGTTCAGCACCGAGAGCCAGGTCATCGCCCGGCCCTAATGGCCTTCCACGCTTCCCTTTGTCGGGTGGCCTTTCACGCACTTCAGTTAGGACGGCAAGGTCGGGATTCTCAGGAATAGTAGCATGGGTGACATAAATACCCATATGGGCTTGACTGATGCTATAGCAGATACAGGGGTGGTACAGAATGTTGGGAATGGTATTGCATATGGTTATGAGATGATAGGAAATAATGAAGAGCCTGCTAGTGATTTTTTCTATAATAGGCCTGAGCAGGAACATGAGCCTGAGAATGGGCATGAGTCTATGCATGAGCCTGAGTCACCAATTGTTCAGACGCCCCCATTATTCGGGTACACATGGTGGATCAAATAATGCAGATTCGAATGGCTCTCATAGGCTATTTATCACACGAAAGGGGTACAAGTAAGTCTTTTTTTTAATTTATGATTGTTGATGTTATAATTATCCTTATATGGCTATTTCAATATTGTAGGTTTGGGAGACAAAGTATTCATCGGGCGATCTTAAAGATATTTTGGCAGTCTATAAATGAACCTTGGATTAGTTATAGAAAATTTCCAAAGGAAGTTGTCACTCAAATGTTTAAGCTTTTCAAGGTAATATATTAATTATTTGTTTTTAATATCTATTTCTCATTCATTCTTATTTTGCATTTTAAACTTTTACTTTTTATATTTTAAAGACTCAATACCAGTGGAATCCAAATGAAGAAGGGAGAATTCGTGAAGTTTTTGAGAATATGCTGAAATATCGCTATATGGGTAGAATGAAGGATGTCAGGGAAGCATCGATAAATTCTGCAAGAAAAGTTGGAGACGTTATCGCAGAGATTAATGATAATTTTGAGATTCTTGCAAGTTACAATCCTGTTAAAATACATAGAGATGTTTGGCGACGTTTGTGAAGGGTAAGCAATCTAATACATTATTGCTTATCATGTTGTTTTTTATTTTCTATCCTAATTCTCTCTCTCTCTCTCTCTCTCTCTATATATATATATATATATATATATATATATATATATATATATTATAGAAATGGGACACGGATGACTGGAAAAAGTTGTCCAAAAGCGGAAAAAAAATCGTAACACTGATTCTGGGGGCCTTTATGAAACAAATCAACCCGTCCGCTAATCCAGCAAGTAGTTCTTATCTTTTGTTTTAAAACACTTAATGAATGTTATTTTATTGACTAGTTCTTAGCTTTTGTCATGGTATTCTAATCGTATTTTGAGTATTTGAATGTATGAAAGGTATGTTATTGACGATTTTAATGTTAATGAATGTAATAGTATCTGACTATTATTTTAATTATTTGTTTGGTTTTTTTAGTAGAAAATATGGATATTTTTTAAATTGTAAATTTAATAGAGCAATAAATTTAATATAGCTAGGGGTGAGCAAAAACCAAACTGCAAACCAAAAAAACCATATATAACCGAAACCGAAATGAAAACCGATGACGTGGTTTTTAGTTTTGCAAAAACCGATAATACTCGGTGTTGTGCGGTTTCTCGTCTCGCAAAAAACTGAACCACACCGCATATATATATATATATATATATATATATATATATATATATATATATATATATATATATATAAAATGTTGATTTTCGTAGAACCAAGAACTTATGACAATTAAAATTTCTATAAATATGAATATCTATCTTATCTATCGAATGATGATTGTATATTTTTATGCATACATTCAGTGGTATTTACAATAACAAATAATGTTTATGACATTAATTGATATTATCGTATGTACTTGTGAAACAAATATTATATTAAATTCGTAATATATTCAAGCATTACAAACATGTTGGATGAGTGGTTATGTAATTTAATTTCAAACAAAGAGGTGATGATATTGGGTTATCTCCAATAAATGATTATCACTCGTCATCCGAGTCAAAGTAACTCGTAGAGTTACTTGAGTTTTAGTAAAAAAGCAAAATGAAAACCAAAAAAACTTAAAAAAAACCCGCAAAAAAAAATCGAACCGCAAAAAATTTGGTTGTTGATGCTTGTTTCTAGTAACTACCTCTTCTTTGAGAAAGGGGAGATGAAACTTTAAAGAAAACAATTGAAATGTGAAAGCATAAGAAGTTTATTAGCCTAACAAGCTAAACATTAATAATGTCATGCCATATTTAGTGATATAATAACAAGGCTTGCGGTAACACATCCACTAAGGACGTGTATATATATATATATATATATATATATATATATATATATATATATATATATAGATATATGGGTTAGGTTATTTTGTTTTTACTAACTATTGTGTGCTAGAATGCACTGATCTAGACCACCGGATGGAATAGAATCAAAGGTAATGATTTGAAAGTCTATGATATTAAAATAGGCTAACATGCACCATATAATCACATAATTTTCAGAATAAGGGTATTTTAGACAATTTACCTATATTAAAAAAGGAAATTTCCGGATTTTAAGGGATAATTTATTCCTTTATTTTAACAAATCTGAATATTTTTAATTAATTCAAATTTAAAAATCCGATTTTTATTCTGTCAGAATGACAGAATGCAAATGATGTGTGTAAAACTAACTTAGTTTTAAACCTACTTTAATTATCAAATAACACACAAAAGGCAGTGAACCTATCAATTGTGGTATAGCTAAATAAGCAGGGTATCGAACACAGGGAACGGCAAATTAAATTAAAAACTAATCCTATCTAAGTTGATTAAGAAATAGGGGTTTTTCTCTAGTTTTACAAGACTAGAAACTTACTAACTATAACTAATTTAAGACTAGAAAATAACAAATTAACTAGATTCAATAATTGGAAAGGAACTTCTGTTTAGTTCAACTTGGTTAACTCTATGGTTGATTTCAAGGTAATAGTGCAATGGATTAATTCTTTCGTTGGTTACCGATTCAAGTGATTAGGTTCATGTTCACTACCCTAATCCTTAGCAAATAAACTAACTCAAACAGTGGCCAATTGCTTAATTTAATTATATTTACTAGATTAATTATTCGGGTTAAGTTAGACTTGCAATAGCTAATTAATTTATTATTCTTAATTAACCTCTTGTTTGATGGTCATCTTACAAGCTTGCACATGAATTTACTCAATTTCCTTATTAATTCTAGTTTCATATTCATTAATCCTAGACATATGGTATAGTGGTCACATATCATATGAGGTCAATAATCAATAGATGTTCATGCTAATCAATTATCTTCCTATTAACAGAAAATTAATTATTATTCATACACAAGGTTCTTTAGCAAGCTAAAATAACAAAAATTCACCAACTTGGAATTAATCCTACCAATCAATCAAACCATATTGTCAACTTTGTATTCCCAAACAGAAGTCTAAAGATTTTAGTTCATAACTAAAGTAAATAACAACAAACAAACAAGTTCAAGTTGCTTAATCATATTGACAAAACAAAAGAATAAGTAGAATGATGAAATTGTGCCTTAATTACTCCCGGAATTGAATTCTAGCTTTCTTTGTCGACTTCTAGGGTTCTTCTGGCTTTTTAATCGTAGCAAAACACTTCTGAAACTTCCTAGAATTCCCTCTTCTCGATCTGTGGAGCTATCTTTAAGTAAGCGATCCGACTCGTCGAGTCAAGTGGCGACTCGTCGAGTCCCTTTCACATAACACGTATTGCGATAACTATCTGGAATTCCGAATCATTATCCTTCTGATTCCTTGACCGGACTCGTCGAGTAGGCTATATGACTCGACGAGTAGAAGCCTTTTTTTAGTGTTTTCCTTCTTCATTCCATTCTCGAGCTCCTAACCGCTTCTCCTGCTTCCTTTTTCTTCCGAGCTTCATATTTGGACTGAAAAACATAATTTAACACTTTTAAGTACCTTTTGTCCATAATATGCGATAATTTAGCTAATATATGAATAAAAATTAAACTTAATACACACTAAATATGCACATATCAAAATACCCCACACTTGTCTTTTGCTTGCCCCCAAGCAAAACTGAATTTTAACACATTAGAATTATGTATGACAACTCCAATCTAACCCAGCCATTATGCCAAGACCGCAACGCATGCATTTGTGTCTAAAATTTTTCCTAAAGAACCCCCCATACTCCAAATACTCACAATCCTCATAAACATTCGCCCACTCACCCCGAACTATGCTCATTTTATGCAACCCTCCGAATCCATCCTCAGAAAACCTCTTTACCCTCAAGGTATTTTTAATTGAGCAACCCAAGCATACATATTCTAGAATTACAACTTTTCGATACCACTATGGAATTCTTTGAATTCTTCACTTTCTTGATAATTTAATCTTTGATATCTTTGAATTCACCAACTTGTATTGATTTTTGGTATCTTCAACTTTTTGGATTTCTTGGAATTTTGATCTTTAGATCTTCACTTCATTTGCTCCAAAATTCTTACAACTTTTTCTTGTAATTCTCTCTTTTTTTTACATGTATACCTCACTTTTGTCACTCAAATCCCTACATGCTTAAGCAGGGGCGCTCAATCTCAACCTTTATTGGCTAACGATAAAAATTTTCCTGGATACATTTCAGGTTTAGGCTGCTAAACATATTGCATCCCTCATGCTGAGCAAGGTCGTGTTTTTGTCTCATGATTTCACTAAAATAAGGAAGCCACAAATGCACTAGAACGTGTATAGGCTCAACTAAACATTTGGGTCTTCATGCAATTATCAACACAATTCTAACATGGAATCCTAATTTTTTACCAAAATTCTCTAATTAAGTCCTAAATAATACTTTTGGTATGCAAAATTTTTAAAATTGACTATAAAATTGACTATTATGTAACCAACCCCCTACCCCACACTTATGTGATGCAATGCCCTCATTGCATATTATGCTTAAAAACATAAAAAAAAAAAAAACTAAAGAGGGAATTGGAATAAACTCCCCTGGGATAGTAGTGGATAGGTTGATCACTCTCATTTAAGCTCCAACTTCAATCAACTTTAGACAGGGTAAAATCTCATCCATGCCTTGGGTGTCTCGTCTCGTGTGGGTCGCTCCAAATATGCGGAAATCGGTGTAAGATCTTCAAGAATGGATATGGAAGAATAAGTGAGCAAATGGTACAAGTAGCAGCATCAAATCCGCAGTTCGTCGGTATAAAAATTGAACAACTCGTCGAGTCTTATGGTGACTCGTCGAGTACCAGCGCGCCTTCTCAGAATTTGTGGAAATACAAGGCGACTCGTCGAGTCAGTTAAGTGCACTCGACGAGTTGGCCACTGAACGAAAAAATTGGTATTTTGCAACTGTTTTAGCGTCTAAAAACTTCTTTAACTCTTCCTCACGTTTGGACTCAATTGCTCATACCCCTAGGACCGAACTCGACACTTTGACGTTAAAGTTCCGCTTCCTTGACTCGCTTTCACTCGTTATAACATCCATTCGCTATAACTCTAAACTCTTCCTAAGCAAGCAATCCTAATCCACTCCTGAAAAATAACTAAAGCATACAATCATTAAGCACAATAAAATCTTAAACAAGTCATACACACCAAAAAAAAAAAAACAAAACAAAAAATAAAAATTGTTCGATTAAAACACAAAAAAAAAAAATCAATCTTCGTCCTCCTCATCATCCGCGGCTCCACTTCCTCCGGCTCCACTTCGTCGCGCACCAATCACCTCATCCCAAGATGGAATAAATGGGTAATTTCCACCATCAATATGTGGGATATTGAAGTGGTCAAAAAGTCGAATATGGGATTGGTTGCTAAAGTTCAACCACCGCGCCATTTGATCCTGCATCCGCCTCATCTCCACATTGTACCAATCCATTGGTACGCCTTCATTCTCGACCAGAATCACCAGCGGCTCTTCCTCCACATCCCTCTCTCTTCTTGATCTTACCCTCCTTCCCA